ATCAAATAATTGATCACACAGAAGAGAGAAGATATTTTATTTGTTTTCTATGTTTGTAAATTATGATATGGTAAAGATCAGGGCACGTTTTTCTTTTCTTTTCTTTTCTTTTTAACCGAAATGCTAAGGCCCCATCCGATGATTCCGTTATGGAGCCATCGGTCCCATGTAGCATCACATAGGACAAAAAAAATATGACCCACACTTACACTTTCATTGTCCCATGTGATATCACATTGGACCGACGGTTCTATAACGGAGCCGTTCCTTAACATAGCCATGAATTTTTTTACATGGATCCACTAAATTTCTCCATTTTTTTTAGGAGGCAAGAGAGTGAAAACCCTAGAAAAATAATAATAATAAATAATAATAATAATAATAATAATAATTATTTATGAATACTTTTGCGTGTTTTGGAGTTCATGAATTGAGGAGTCAATTTTGTTTCCTAGAATATTCATACATACAGCTGGACATTGTCCTCTCACCCTTGTTAATATCCTTATCAATTGTTATATCCTTATCAATTGTTAATATCCAATCCAAGTTCACTTCAAAAGGAGGTTTATAATATTTGAAAACAAAAAGAGAAGAAGAAGAAGAATTACACAAACTCTATTTTTTTTTAAGTATAGAAAAGAATTCCCAAAAATAATATGCGTTCAAGATTTTATATGCTCAAATTATTGTGAGGTGTGCATAGGATGGGACCTTCGGATATCTTATTTAGTCGCATATTTTACAGCCTGTTGAATAATTTACTAGAACTTGAGAAATTGAAAAACATAAAAACGACAGGAACACAATAACCATTGACAAACAACAGTCAAAGAATCAGGAAAATAATACACTCAATCTCTTCCGAACACGTCACGCTTAAATAACATAACAACGTCATCTATAAAGAGAATCTAAATTCAAATCAAATAAATTAAAGAAAAATGCGAATATGCTGCGCTTACGGACCCAAAAAGAAAAAGAAAGAAAGACTTAACTTTATCATTTGCTACTGCATAAATGATAAAACAAATAAAATAAAATATATATCTTTGAAACATTTTTTCCCCTTCAATAATAGTCTCGCAAAACTCATAAGAGTTACAAGTATAACAGAAGAAATCCACAGTTCCTCGTTAAGACCGCATTTTTCTTTTCTTTTTTTTTTTTCAAACGAGAAAACTGGGTCTAAAAATACTGAGGAATGTTTTGTCCTAAAGTCAAAAGAATATTATACAGATTCAAAATGTTCCTCTTCAACAGCTCTTGAGCAACAAACTCGATCGTGAAATCTCGATTAGCAGCCGCCAACAGTTTACAAGCACAAGATCGGCAAATACCGGTAAACACTTAAGAATACTGCAAAAAAATGAACACTCTATTGACATGTTACAATTGGGTAGGATAATCAGCGGATAATTACAAGAACTACCCTTTTGAAATGTGAGCGACGTTATTTTGTCTGCGTTTGAATGCACAAATAACGCGCCAAAAGAACACAAAGTCAGGATAAATCACAAACTACTCGGATTACATGAAAAGAAGGCGTACCTGTAAGCAATTATACGCTTCTCTGTCTTTTCCTGATTCCAACCAAGGCCACTCATCCGATCGATTAGGCTCACATGATCGTACATTATTAAANACCTACATTGCTTTATATTAGTCTAATTATATTCTAACAGCACTAAATAGAAAACACAGGAAAGTAAGGCCTCCACCAAAAGAAACATCTATTTAAATGTAAACCTCCTTTCATAAATAGCAGTCTAGGCAAGAATTTGAGGTTGCTTGCATCAGTACAAGAATACAATTGCAAAATCTTTTACACATCTTTAGCAAGGGCACTCTATCCGGAACTTGAACAAAATTTTGCTTACGAACCTGAGTATCATCTAAGAGGATTTCTTTTTTCTTTTTATTTTTTTTTTTGCTTTTACCGGTCTGATGCTGGAGATTCAACTAGAGGTACGGCTTGAGTTGTGTCACCAGAGCTATCACGAGAAGCTTCTTTTTTCAACTTGTGATTATTGTATGCAGCTACCCCTGCAATAGCTGCAGATCCAGAATTTTGGTCAATCACTGCACAAAAATTCTTCAAGGAAATTTCAGACAAACTCTTACATATGTCTAGTACAATTACGTAACATTGATGAAAAAGCACCAGCATAATAATGTACTCACTTTCTGGAGATATTTTTTAGAATTAAGTGGGAGTACTAAAAACCCTGTACACCATCCAAACCTATTCCATATCATGCAGACAGACCGAACTTTTAGTTTCATCAGTTCATTTTTTTCATTTTTCAGGTTCTTCTCTCTTTTAGGTTTATACATTTCTTTCAGCTTTTCCGAGGGTTTCCAGTTTTTGTAGGACTGCTAAAGGTTTTACCTTTTTTCGTTTTCTAGGGTTTATTTTTTATGAGTAAACAAGACAACAGATACACGAGTATTTGATAAATGAAGGAAAGTTCTTTTGGCTGTCATACAAGTTCACATGCAAACGGAACTTACCAATGGCGTATCCAAAAAGATTTATAAGTGTCAACTTCGTGTCAGCAAAAAGAAGGGCCGACAGCAGAACTACAACCCAGTCCTTGACAACTCCAGCCACGCGAATGGTCAAGGCACTTGTGTGCGAGATGACAAGGAAAACCGAAAGATTGAGGGCAAAAGTACATAGAGAATTCAGAGTCAACATCAAAGGCTTGAAACTCCATGTCCCCTGTGCATCCATCTTAGGTTTCTCCAGGAAGATCCACGGTATTAGAAGGCAAAGAGCACTACATCAAATAACAATAATCATCATAATAACAACAATTTAAAACAAAAAGAAAAACATAAAAAATAACGAATAATGTAAAACAAAAAAAGAAATTCGAAAAAAGTTGACATGCCTGCATGGGCTAACATAATACATCACGGATATGGGGTTTAGCTTTAGCCCCTTGCGCTTCATAAAAATCTCCATGAATATCAGTCTCAATGCCTCTCCAACCACGCCTCCCATTTGGTAAACGACACCTATCCAATTTATTTCCATCTCCCCATAAGAAGCCACGAGCACTCCAAAACTGATCACTGACATTATGAGAAGCATCCTACAGCTCATCACTTCAAGTCCAGCTAATACACCAAGGATGAACACGGCAACGGGCACTGTAAATGTTGGCATGAGTGAAAATCAGGTATTGGTGCTAAATAAAGATGGAATTCACAAATTGCGCCTAACTATGGAAGCCCATTTTTTTTAAAAAAAAATAACGTACTGATAGCTTTCAACATCTGGGCGAATGCAACTGAGATGTAGAGGTAAGCAGTGTTCCCAAGCCAAAGTGTCATAGCAAACATTGCAGCAATTGGGATGACAGAACTAATATATCTGCAAATGAATGTCGAGCTTGTTCAGTGACATCACATGAAAAGTCACACACAGCAACAATAAGCGTAACTAAACGGGCATAACAACAAAATATATCGAAGCTGGCATCCCACGTGTGCTCTTCCTCTTGGCTCATTTTCTAATCAGTGTTTTGGTGTTTGACTGTTTTCTCTTGTTTCATTGGGTATGTTACTGAAACTTATATAAATGATCAATCAATGTCAACATGGGAAGCTAATGACGAATTAAGCTCTTCGAAGCAAATATCGCTTGCGCATTGAGGGTGAGAATACTCACATATCCATAGTCATTCCTTCATCAACTTTCATAATCTGCAAAAAGGATACAAAACGAATATGAATACTCGACAATAAGCAATGTCCAAGTAAATGAACTTCATTTGTGATTTAGTTACCTTGAAAACTTTGGTAACCATAAAACATAGAACAGAAGAGAAGACCATATGAAGCAGAGTCAGTCCAAGTGGGTAAGGGAAGTTTATTTCCTTCGATGATAAAACCCACTGCATTGGAAAAAGTTCTAATGAGCTTGATTAGCAATGTAATGAATGGTTAGTCACTGTCCTAAAGCTATCTTGCTAAAACAAACATCAAGAGCAACAGCAAAATTCTCAATCCAACTTAACTATAGTCGCTTGAAAATCAATGTTAGAATAGAGATCAATGGTTTGGTGATGCATAGTTAAGTATCTCATTTTGTTTCCAAAAACTATAAAATAAATAAATATATAGATAAGGACTAGAAAGAGACGGCCACAACAAGAATTTAAAAACTCAACAAAGAGCATTCTAATGTGGAATGAAAATCTGCAAAAATACATTCCTAAGGTTGAGGCAATGTTTGGTAGTACTGACGGGATTGTCCTCATTCATCATAAATGAACTAAACATCTGTCACCTCCGTCAAAGTACTTTGGAATGACGTATTCATAAACATACAAACACCAACTTCTTAAATTATTAGACGCCACTGCCTATACATTCGTAAGTATTCCATCCATTACATTAGTAACCTATATGTTTACATATTTGGTATTACTTTCCAAAATATACGTTTTTTTTTCTTTTTAGGAAAAAAATAAAACATTTACATTTACTAAATTTGCATGATAACATTTAATAACGTAAAGATTTGATACGACAGCATCGACTGATGAGGAAAGATTCTCATATCTTTTCGTAACAGCTATGAAAATGATATATCCTCCAAATAAACTAGTCTGCATTTTTCTCCAGGAATGAATCTCAGCCATGTTGATAATCAAATAAAATGCATTATCATTCTTCTCATAAACAACCTCATGCCTAACTCCAATGGTCCAGAAACTGGCTTGAGTTTCAAAGAATTAGTATGGACCTTATATGTCATGGGAACAGGACTCGGCAAGCTATTCCAACAACATTCAGCAATCACCCTGTGCCTTTTCTACCCTCCTTGAATAAAATTTGACAAAACCCTAAAACTAGGCTGCTCGCTAAGAGTATCAACAACGAGCCGTAAAGAATCTACAATCTACGTTCTGAATCTCAATAACTATTGAAAGTCGCAAGATCAAAACTTTTTGGATGAATCGATACAGACAAATATTCAATGTACCTGCTGCTGCATCTATTTACATACTGTCTCCTACAATCTAAACCTAGTTAGCAACAGGCATAACTCCACATCAAGAACATGACTGTGTAGCAGTTCTAACACCAATATGCAACAATCAATACATATCCACAAAACCAACAGTTTTCACACTATGATTGCTGATAAAATCTATATATATTAGCACATAGATAAACCCATATCTATATAAAAAAAAGCCGCACCAGTCATCCACTGAGTACTCTCCCGCATTTCTACCCGATCAAACTCAACATTTGCACAGCAACACACAGAGTAAAAAGAAAAAAAATAAAATGAAAACCGAAAGGAGTGAACGGTAACACTCCGACCTTGTTGAAGAAGATCTGACCGCTGGAGAGAGCGATGTAAAGAAGAATGTACGCGTACGTTAGGAACTCTTCGTTCACCCATTTTCTCTCGCGATCTGCCATTGTTGCGCCGGTTGCTAGCTCAGCAGCTGAAACTCGGAGGGCCCAAATTTTTTCTGTTCTACAGACAATATGTGAGGCTTTATGCTTTGGTCAGGACATGGGCGGTTTAAAAAGGAGCTGAGACTTTTAATGGCGTTTTGTACTGCAGAAAAGGGAAACGCAGAGATTNATATATATATATATAGAGTTGGGATCATATGAGAATGGTAGATAGTGAAAGAAATGAGAATGAATCTGTACCATTGGATCAACCATATCAATGGTTATGATGAAGTCAAAATATGGTCAATCATTAATGGCAATTTGGTAATTATTTGATCATAGTATGGTCAAATATGTTATTTGACCCATAATTAAGGATAAATTGGTCAATACACATTTATTATGTGGGACCCACCCACCAATTAAATATCTATTTTCATCACCATCTCCACTCTTTCTCTCTTTCTCACGATCTGCACACACACACACACATTCCGGTAGCCACCAACCCACCCCCAACTCAGCCACCGGAATTTATCCACCACCACCAGTACACCGCCTCTCGGCCAAACATATCGCATCTCCCTTCCCCTTCGGCGATGCTCGCGTCATCTCCCGCCTACCACATCCTCTCCGATGCCGGCCACGGCGCCGCCCGCCCGCTCCAAACGGAGCTGTTCCCGGCAGTCGAAACACCTCAACGGAGGGTTGATAGTCTCGGCATTGTACAAACTTCAATGGAGATCTGTTTTGCTGCTCATCATTCAGATCCAAATCTGCCCCGTCGCCGCCGGCCTCAGCCTCGTATCTTCCTCCTCCACCGCCGTTCGTCTGGAATATTGTAGATCTTTCTGCCGGAAATCGTCATGATGACAGTGATGACGTTCACCTGGCTCGGGGCTGGTACCGCTTTCGTTTACCCAGATCCGGCTTTCCTGTGATACTCGGAGAAGAACGAGGGCCCTGCAGGCAAGCTTGGAGCAACCTCGTTTCACTACATTCCTGCTCGAGTATTGTTTCTCAATTTACGATTGTTTGCCTTGCTTCACTACACTCTTGCTCCAGGGTCTTTTTCTTAATTTACGATTCTGAGAATGTGGTGTTGATTTGTGGGGCTCAATCATGTAAATTAGATTAACTTTGGGGGTTGTTTCGAATTGTTTATAAATTATAGGGACCTAACTGCAATTTCATGAAGTTTAATATACTAGGTCATGAGCCAAATTTATAACTACTCAAACTATATTTAAGATTTTAATGTTTTTTATTTATATTTAAAATAATCCAACAATTATAAAAATAAATTCGTCGTCAAACTGAAATAACCGATTTTAAAATAAAAATAGATATTCAAATCGAAATATAAATTTTGAACCGAAAAATTTTATTTTGATCGGATTTGAAAAATATGGTGCAATTCTCTAGTCGTTAATGTGCAATTTATGTAACATTATTGTGCACACGAAATGCATGAATTATTTACGATCTACCCCAAATCAAAGAAAATTTAACGAAATAGTCGGTGTATTTGATCGGTTAACCAAAGCAACATAAATAATTGAAATAATTCAGAATTTGCACACAAACACTTAGTTTGGTCGGGTGCGTCCGATATAGTGCAATCTGATAGTCATTAATGTGCAATTCGTCTAACACAATTGTGCAATCGCAGTGTATGAACTTTTCATGAATTGCCCCAACCGAAGACTAAAGTCAAACGAAATTGACAATTTATTTACCGGTTAACCGAATTAAGATAAATAACCAAAATAATTTATATAATATAAATATAATGATGAGTTTAATATTTTATTTAATATTCTATATTATTTTTGGTTGTAAATACCTACAATATATAAATAACAGTATAATATTTTTTTTTATAGTTCGATTGGTTCGGATAATTTTAAAAAATAAAGCTGACATCGAACTGAAATAACCAAATATTTAAAAGTAAAAAGGATAATCGAACTAAAATATAAACTTCGTACTCAAAAACTTAGTTTCTCGATTTCGGTCGGTATAGTGCAATCTGACAGTCACTAACGTGCAATCCGTCCATCACTAATGTGCACTCGAAGTGCCCAGTGAAAAAAAACAGTAATGATGCTAATGTGCAATCGGTATAGTACTAATGTGCAATCCGATATTCACTAATGTTCATCTTGATTAACATAATTGGCATTATGCATTATGATATATTTAGTAATTTAATGTTTTTATGTAATATTTTAAATTATTTTTGGTTGCAAAGACCTAAAATATATATACATAAAAAATAATATTTTTTTTATATAGCTGGGTTGGTTCGGTTATTTTAAACAATAAAGTTGAAATCGAATCGAGATAACCAAAATTTTAAAAGTAAACACAAATAATCAAACCAAAATATAAAACGTGAACCCAAAACTTTGTCTGATCGCTTAGACCGCTATAGTGCAATCTGCTAGTCACTAATGTGCAATCCGTCTGACACTAATGTGCACCCGAAGTGCAGCTATTTTTTGTAAAAATATATTTAGTATTTTAAATTTTTATTTAATATTTTATATAGATTTTGTTGAAACAATAAAATATATATATGTAATTTAAAAATATATCAAAAATAATATTTATATATTATATATAAATTAAAGATTTGGCTCATATGCTAAATTGAACAACAATCAAAACTCTTGAAATTTTGGTTAAATTATAGATTTTACCCAAGAACTAAATTGTAATTTAAATAAAATTAATGATATTGCATTTAAGTCCCTCATACTTATCATATTTTTTTAAAAAAAGACCCCCAACCCAGTATTTTAATGTGTTCGGCACTTCGTTGTCTCCTCCTCGCAACCTCCGCCATTGCCGCCGATGAGCCACCGGACTCTTCTCAGCCACGCGAAGACCTCATCGGTCGGCTACATCCTCACGATTTTTCGATTTCGTGTTCATCAATTTTATTTTCCGATTTTGTATTCATCAAATTTAGTTTCTATTTTGTATTCATCTGGTCTGACGGGAGGGAGAGGAGGGGGCTGTGTTGATTGCAGAGGTAACCGGATTTTTGGAGGCGGCGGGCAGAGGAGAAGATGAGGTCCGGTGGTGGCGTTGATTGGAGAGGGTAAGGGTGAAGAGGTGGTTTCCGGCGGGCGGAGTTGCCCCTGCCGACCGTCATGTTCTGTGCTGGAGTGGCGGCCGCCTGATAATTTATGCAGCGGCGGAGGCCGTACTGGCAGGCGGCGGGGCGGATTCCGGCGATGTCCCTGCCTCCCTACCCATATGTTGCCTCCGGAAAAATTTGTCTGTCGGTGCTGGAAAATTGGCGGCGAACGCGAGGACGACGGCGGTGGCGGGCGGCGAACGGCGCAATCGGCGGTGGCGGGCAGCAAATTGACGGGGTGTGTGTGAGGTTTGTATTGTGTGTGTGTGCGTGACCGATATGGTGTGACAGTGGCGACAGATGTGAGGGGATGTGCAGAGACGGCGGAAGGAGGTGGCGCCGGCGGTCTGGCTGTGACGAGCGGCAGGTGGCGACGAAGCTGTCGGCCGTGTGTGTGCACAGTATGTGAGTAGTGTGTGCAAAGTGTGCGTGAGAGAGAGCGCAATGTGTGTGTACAGGGTATGTGAGGCGTGCGTATTGGGCGGGGCCACATGTTAATTGGGTAGGAAAATTACCACACTGTCCTTATTGTGTTTCAAATTTGAGTTTTTTTTAGCAGTTGGATCATCCAATCCAATGGTTAATATTCATTCTTATTTCTCTCGTTGAGAACCATTCTCACCGGAGCGTGACCCTATATATATGTATATATATATAAGTATTTTTTTCTTTTTCTTTTCCAAACGATAAATTGTATTACTCAAAGTTTCGAACAATTAGATACAATAAACAAGGAGGCTAGCCTACTTAAACCACCAAATGGTGGAAACATGAAGGACGCAAAAAAAAGTGCTCTAAACTATAATAAAAATATCCGGAAGAGGGGTCTAACCAATTGTTAGTGGCAAAAGCACTGAAACCAAACTGCTAGAGAATACCAGTCCGACAAGCGGAGAATGCCTAACTCCAGACAAAGGAGACTAATTCACTATTAAACTAAACCCACACCTAACTAAGATAGTGTAGTACCTCCCCCAAACCACATAAGCAACCTACAACAGACAACAACCCTACACGAACCAAAAACTTCAACAAAAGAAACCCACAACCAGAGCTAAAGGAGCGAACGAACCCAGAATTATAAACTCCAACTATAACAACGACTAGAAAGAATCGACAAAAAGGCAAGCCTCAGTCGAGATCTGTAATCCAGAAGGCAACGTTCGGGGGGAAGAAGCATCCCCAAGAGGCATGGCACGAGGAGCTGCACCAGAAGAACCCCAAACCCGAGCAAATGAAAGAGGATCGTCCCAGCCACTCGACACACGCCGGGAGCCACAAACCTTAAAAAGAAAACAATGAAAGAGGGATCTTGTGACCGACAACCGGTCGACAAAAGGAGACGGTGAACGACGAAACAACAACCCCACACATGGCCAGAGAGAGGGTGGCGAGGCGAGCCTCAACCGAGCCTCTCCCACACATGAAGTTTTTTTTAAAAAAAAAAAAATTGTGTGAAATCGCCTAACCGTTAGATGGATGGTTCGTCGTACTATTTAAATAAAATGTATATTTATTTCATCAATATCATGCGTTTATTGTAAGTTGGAATTCTATGATTTGTCATACAATTTGAACAACAAATGTATACTTATACTATAAAATGATATGCGTGTGTTTATATTTAACAATTTAACTTATGTAAGTCTCGCCTTAGTGAGGGTTGTTATACTATTTGAACAAAAATGTATACTATATATTATTAAATATCATACTTCTGTTTTGTTGTCTGTTATTTCAAACAATAATATTGATGAAAAAAATGTGTGTACAATTAAAATAATATATATGTTGATCTAGGGTTAGATAAGCCTAATAAAATATCAGTCGTCTTTACTGTTGGTTTTCAATTTAATGACCTATAAGTCATTGGTCCATAAAAAATTATATTACGCTATGAAATAACATGTTTTTATTTATATAATTAAATAAAGTATGACATTTAAAAATAAAATACACCTGTCCGATTGAAAATATACGAGTAACTAACTGTTAGAAACAATTTAATAGTAGTACTAACTAGTGTGGGTATAAATAATAATTATATTCAAAATAAATAATGTGTGTATTATACGATTGCGAATCAGTAAAATTATATTTACAAGATTTAAAAATAAAAATATTATTTATATTTTAAATTTCGTATATACTTATAAAAAAAGAATATTACAAATTTTATTTAGATTTGGTACACACTGTAGTAAGACTCGTTGGTTCTATACTACACTAGTCTTTTTAATGCACATCATGCAATAGGTGGTAAATAAAAAAAATATTTTAACTATTAAATAATAATTTTATTATTTATTAATTGTAGTTGATAGTTTTTACTTTTTAGTTATAAAATTTCTTTTGCTATGTATGGAGTTTTTTCTCACTCTTTCCCGTGAAGAGCTAACATTTTGAATCTGTAAGTCATACTTCTCCTTTTATGAGGATTTCTATAAAAAATCGTTATAAGATACTTAATTTGTCATATCATAAAAAATATATATATAAAAGTTATTGTGTTCCAAAATATATTTATAACGTAAGTTAGTGTATATGGTTATAATAATAAGAGTCATAATAAATACGCGTAAAAGTCTAAAACTAATTGCATTACTCTTATGAACAGTATACTTAAGCTCCAATCCTAATTGAACCGAGCTCTTAAGTCAACCAACCCAAATTCAAGCATTAACAAGAATAATTATGTTAAAATATAAAAAAAAAAAAACGTAAAATCTCCTAATTTCAAGCATAACGAGCCAAACACACTAACGAGCTCGAATTTGACTCAATGACCTAATGCATCAAGCAAAGCAAAACTCACGACACTCATTTTATTTAACTGATTTATTGTTTTTTTATTCATTTTTTTCTCCGTTATTTTTCGTGTTATATACTTATATTGTACACGCTCACTTTTTTTCAAACGCAAGTGTATAAATCGCGCGAAACTGTTCGAATATTTTACCGCCTCTGTTCACAGAAAATCACAAGAAGCAGACAAAAAACAGGTTAATCAGTTCTCTTCCACAAATGCACCATAACCAAAGTATACACGCCAAAGTAAAATTCCCCCAAATTCAGAAAAAGGGTTCCTGTATGTGTGTGGTTTTGTTGCAAAATCATTGACTAATTTTCATGGATTTTCTCTGTTTGCAGGTAGTTAACGGTGGCGATGATAAAGGTCACTGGAGCGCACACCGATGTGTGTGGCGGAGATCGAACCAGCTGCCCCCGTTGCCCTAATCGGATAGGGTTTGTATTTCTCACCTCCCAAAAGCCAATCCCCAAATTTGTGTCTCACTCTAATCGAGCCCCCACCCCATTTGTCCTCTTCCCCAATCTCTCTCTAGAAGTGATATTTTTTTGCAAATGGTGTTGTGTTAGTTCTCTTATTTCGGGCTTATTATTTGTTCCATACGTGTGTCGTGTGGCGGAGAGCAAGCTAGTTGCCTCCTTGATAGGATGTGGTGTGAAATTCTCACCCTCCGATTGCTCATCTTCAGTTCTGGGCTGCTCTTATAATTGTATTTTTTTTTTTCTTTGCTTTATTTTGCATTTAAAGAAAAAAGGANGTTGCTTGGTATGTGTAGGTGTTTTTGTTGTTTTCATGATAATGCTTTAGTTTTGGAGCGTGGGCTAGTTTAAGAAGATGATACTATGTGGATGTCTGCTTATGGATATGTGAAGTTTTGAGCTTAGTGGGGTGCGATTGATGTAGTTATTTGGCTTGTGTGGCCTTCTCTTGAAGATACTATTTGTATTTGTTGCTGGGGATCATTAGATTGTTCAAGACAGTAAAAATGTGTCTTTCCACCATTTAATCAAGCTCCGGTGTCCATTTTCCAGATGCTGATGAGTCTTGAATTTATTTGTTTCTAGGATTTGTATGTAAGGTCCATGGCTAAGTCTTAGGATCATCTGTAAAATCAGAGCTTGGTAGTGTTTGCAATAGAAGCTAATCAGCTATGAGTTGACTGGCGAGTGGTTAGAACAAGTCTCACTAATAAATTTTGAAAGCGCTTATTTGCTTACAGAAGTCATACTAGGAGCACACTTAGAAATTTAACGCGCCCTGAGGGTTATATACTTCATATTTTGATTAAAATATGGATACGTGAAGCATAAGTTAGCACCTTAAAAGCTGATCATCACTTTTCTTTAAAGAGTTTTGAACCTTGAATCTTTTTTCTTCAATCCATATTAAGTTGGAGATAAGTTAAATTTCACCAAATGAACTCGTCAGTTCTCATTAAAAAAGCAATGAACATAGATTATCTGATTTGTATTCTTCCATTACGATTTGGATCCAGATTCTTGGAAGTGACGTGAAAATAGGACAACAATGGCAGAGGTAACAAATGTCACCGAGTACCAGGCTATTGCAAAAGATAAACTGCCAAAGATGGTGTATGACTACTATGCTTCTGGTGCCGAGGACCAATGGACGCTGGCTGAGAATCGGAATGCATTCTCGAGGATTTTGTAAGTCAACATACATAATCATTAATTTTTCTGGGCCTTTGTAAATTCTCGTTCCTCATGGTACATCTGAACTAAATACAGGTTTAGGCCCCGGATTCTGATTGATGTCAGCAAGATTGACATGTCCACAACTGTTTTGGGCTTCAAGATTTCAATGCCAATTATGATTGCCCCAACTGCCATGCAGAAAATGGCTCATCCTGATGGTAAGCATTTTTGTTGGAAAAATGATCATCAAATTTTTCTGTAGGACGATATTTACTGCTGATATACTGCCGATTTTCTTCTGTTCAAGCTATTCTTTTCTGTTCTAGTTCTCTCAGCCATGAGTTAGGATTGTCTCAGATTATTTTCTGAAGTGAAGTAACAGGACAGTTTAAGCAATTGCAATATTGTTGGTTTTTGCATGATCTGTACACACTGTCGTGTTTTTTGCACTTATGCAGTTCAACGAATGGCACTGAATAGGTACAACTAATACTTGTAAAATTCTGTTGTGAAGTCATACATTGGAAGTTTGATATTCTCAGCTTAACAGTGGGCATGATATCTCAAATTTAGAAATTTATATTCGTGCTAACAGAATACTTAAGATTGAATTTCGAATGTACCCAGTACACAGTCCCCCAATTTGATTCATTTAGTCTACTTCTTGAATCATGTGTATTTGTAAACATGTACTTTAATCATATCAAAGGATGCCTAAGTTTCATGCCAACTGCCCACATTAACTTGAGAAGGTGCTTATGACGTGGATGATCTTTATGCAGGGGAATACGCAACTGCTAGAGCTGCTTCAGCAGCTGACACAATTATGGTTCAACTTCTATCTTATTCTGCTTCAATTTCTCTCTTATTCTGCTTCAACTTAATTATTTTACATAAAAATTGGAAAAAGAGTAATAGGTCAGACGTGATCCTGAAAAATTGCGAAATTTATTAAATCATCTTTAGGACAGTGATGATGCATCTGATTGGAAAATAAATGAAAAAAAAAATGTTACTGTTTTATTTTCAGACATTGTCATCATGGGCCACTTCCAGTGTTGAGGAGGTTGCTTCAACTGGACCTGGCATTCGATTTTTCCAGCTTTACGTAAGATTGGGTTCTGATGTTTAACGAGAATACTACAGTTATTGATTATTGTACTTGATAGCCCATCCACTTTCCTAACTGCCCTTCCCTTTTTCTTTTTTCTTTTCTGTTTTTTTTCCCTACCTTTTGTTTTTTGGGGCATCAGGTCTACAAGGATAGAAATGTCGTGGAACAGCTTGTGAGAAGAGCTGAAAGGGCTGGTTTCAAGGCCATTGCACTTACTGTGGATACCCCAAGATTGGGACGTCGAGAAGCTGACATTAAGAACAGGTTCAAACTTCATACTTTCTGACATTATCAGAAAGTTTAACTACAGTAACTTTCCGTGAAACCTGAAAAATGATCTTCTGATTTGGTAATACACAGATTTACTTTGCCACCTTATTTGACATTGAAGAATTTTGAAGGTTTGGACCTTGGGAAGATGAACGAAGTAAGAAGTGGAACACAGTCTTTTTTTTTTATTTTTTTATTTTTTTTCTTGTTGCTCTTTAAAGAGTTCATACTCTACAAACGTGGTTAGTAATTCACGTCTCATATACTGTGTTTTAGGCTGATGACTCTGGATTAGCTTCATATGTTGCTGGTCAAATTGATCGCACTTTGAGCTGGAAGGTAAATGCTTCCTAGAAAACATATGTTATGAAGGTTAAAAAACCGCTGCCTTGCTTTTTTCTCTGTTTGCTTTAATGAAAAACACTAGACTGAAAGAATAGAATCTTATTATCAAACATCTATCTCTCCACACATTTTGTTTGAAGTTATCTGTTTGAACGAAGCCGATATAGTCTGAAAGGTAATTATTTGAATGTCAACAGGATGTGAAGTGGCTTCAGTCAATTACTTCACTGCCTATCCTGGTTAAAGGTGTACTCACTGCTGAAGACAGTAAGAACTCTGATATGCTTTTTTCAATAATTTTACTGTGGCATATAAGTAAATGCTCAGAATTTTAATTTTATTTTGCTTGTCATGAAATACAGCAAGGATCTCCATTCAGAATGGTGCAGCGGGTATTATTGTATCTAACCACGGTGCCCGGCAGCTGGATTATGTCCCTTCAACTATCCAGGCTCTTGAAGAGGTATCCAATTTATGTTAAAAAAAAGTTCTAAAAACTGTTTGCTCGTTTATCGTTTAATCATTTGTTCGAACATCAGGTTGTGAAGGCTGCACAAGGCCGAGTGCCAGTATTCTTGGATGGTGGGGTTCGCCGTGGGACAGATGTCTTCAAGGCATTAGCCCTGGGAGCTTCTGGAATATTCGTAAGTCTTATCACAATAGTTACACTTCACGTTTTTAGCCTCACTGCAAAAAAAAATAAATAAAAAAAATAAAAGTAATAGTTCTTGTTCTCTTTCAAAGCTACAAATAAGCAAAAGCTGCAAAACTTTTGTGTTCATGTGATTTCTAAGATGAGTAGAGCCTTTTGTAATAATCCCTAAAAAATGAACCCTGAATTTGTTTTTCGTGATTAGATTGGGCGACCTGTCGTGTTCTCATTGGCTGCGGAGGGAGAAGCTGGCGTGAAAAGAGTGCTCCAAATGTTGCGGGACGAGTTTGAACTGACCATGGCACTAAGTGGCTGCCGCTCATTGAGTGAGATTACTCGAAATCACATCGTGACTGAGTGGGATGCTCCACAGGCGCTTCCTGCTGCTCGGTTGTAATGTTCTTCTCGAGAGCCGGTCCTTTTTCGGGATTGGGTTTTATTTATTCAGTTATATTGATATGGGGTTATGGGTATGTTACTGGAGATGAAAAGCTTTTGATTGGTGATGGATTTAAGTATGTGTTTTTGTTGATGTGCAAAGAAATCTATCTATGTGTTGTGTTGGTATACTATTTTTGATTCATGCACAATGGTTTAAGTTAACATATGACCTCTTGAGTATGTTTTAGTTATTTCATTGCTTGTTATCGATTAAGAAGTTATTGATTAATCCTGCATTTTCTATTTTATTAGGAATTCGATTTAGATGTACAATTCTATCCTTTTTTTTTTTTTCAAAAAAAGTCCATAATTCTTATCCAAGTTACACTAGAAATGTTTCTATAGTGAGAACTGCTTTTGTACTCATGTTTACACGAATAGTACGAACACCCTAAAATTATTTGACACTATAAATTAATATGTTCTTGCTCAATAAAATTTATCACTTTTAGTAGTCTAAAAAACAAACCTTACAATATAATTAAGATGTAATTGAGCCAACCCAAGCTCTAACTTGAGCTCCTGATACTCGAATTTGTACTTGAGCTCTTGATAATCGATTTCATGCTCAAGTTTTTATCGAGTTGAGCCAAACTCAACTTATGTAACTAAAGAGCCAATAAACGAGCTCAAACTTGTCAAAGTGTATAATTTTTTATAATAATTTTATTTTCGAGTCTGAACGAATCGAGCTCCAATCATTAACTAAACTAAAATTAAGTGAGCACAAGCTCATGTCTTAATAAGCCAACCCGAGTTAACGAGCCTTTAACATGACAAAAGGGTAATAGAGAATATTAATGCATAATTTACATGACAAAAGTGTACAATAAATCCAAAATCACAATTTATATTCCAATGTTTTTTACCTCAAAAAAAGACATTTCATCATATTAGTAATTTTATTAGGATATTCTCATTCATTTTGTACGTTATTTTGCTTTTGCTAATACACTCGAAAAGAGATCAACCCACCAACTAATTAGATCTTATATGATCGGACGGTTGTAAATGCGTCCCAAATTTAGATCAACTCCACACACAGTACACACACTAAAATTCTCGGGCACGGCAAACTGCACGCTCCGCCGGTCAATCGCTGCTAGTTTCCGGCCAGACAAACGGCTCTGTGAGATGGATTGACGGCGGTTATGGAAAATCATTGTTGAGGCTATATGATGGAGCCATCACGATAGGTTCCCGTGAAAACCGTAAGCCCTTCTTTTCAGAAAATAATACAATCGGATTTTCGCTCGTGACCGATCCACCACCACCGACGGCCACCGAACGGAACACCGCCGTATCACCGTAATCAGGACGTCGGGTCATATCTTCCAATCCCACGGACTCGAATGAGTTGCTAGCCATGTAAAGCCTTGTTTTATATTATAAATTTCACACCATTATTTGATCTTGTGTTTAACTTGAACCCGTGGTTTCAGTTGGCCTTTCGTTCGTTAGCTAAATCACTTGTAGTTGGTGTATGGTTAACATGGTTTGGTGTGGATCAATGACTAGCGCTAACTGATAAATTCTGCACATTTGAGCTGAGTTTTGGTTGATTACATAAATGATCACTTGGTATAATGTATTACCTTTTAGTTGCCTTCTTAAGCTGAGTATATTTGTTTCTTTAGTGAAAGCTGGAAGTTGCTGCTTTTGTTATCGGATTTTGACATGTGCACAAGAAGTGAAGCCATTATTATTATAGCACTTCCCTTAGTTACCGTTACGAGTGTGGATTCATATTCAGCAAACGAGTTTCTTGTGCGTGAGACACTTAAAATGTACTTGTAGTGGCTGATTTCTGTTAACTGTGGGATTATTTCAAGAGTTTCAGAGGGGTTGCCTCATCCTAATGTGATAACATATCAATGCGATTGTGAACTTTCCTTTTATTTTTCGACTTCGTGTTCTTAAGAAAAGTAATAATTGCGCATGAAGTCTATGAGAGGAACTGGGATTGCTTATATTTTTCTGACATAGCAATTAACAAGTATCGATTTCATGTTATCCATGGCATATTTACTTCTAGAGGCAAAGGTCTGTTGAGGAAATCAATGCACTTTGAATGGTTGGAACCTAAAGAAAATGAAGAAACGTTGTTAAACACGTGAAAATTTTTCTTCTTTTTTTCTTACTTGGGAAGGAACCCATATATTCATCTTGGTTATATTCAGACTAGCTTGAAGATTAAGAATTTTATATTTGGATTATCATTTTCTATGTTAGTTTCCTTTTATGGCATCCTATTGCATTGCTTCCAGCGACTCTTGAGCAACCAAGCTCGTTATTCTACAAGCTGATTCTTATCTCCCATGATGTAAACCTGGCTAGGTATCTAAGTTAATGATAATAATACTATCCACGATTACTGGTTTGGAATAGCTAGGTCGGGACTGACTTGAAAATAGTAGGCAAAAAGAAAAAATGCCAAACCTGAAGCCAAGTTGGATTGGTTTGGGTTGGGCTTAGTTGAGTGGCGACATATTATATGTTGGATGGTTAGGGTATGTCTAGGATTAAACCTAATTTATAGATGATCGATAACAAAAATAAAAACATTACGGTGATTTTTGCTCTTCGAAGTTTGTGAACTAGCCCACAAGGTCTTTTCTTATATGTTTTTCCTGGTTCTCTGTTTTTTCTATTATGTGTTCTAAATAAATTTTTGTTCTAATAAATTATTTATCTTCTTGGAGTTTTTAAGTCCCTAACATTGGCAAGATGAGACTTAGCCCATCCTAGTCATATGGTTTTGCATTTTGAGACCTGATGTCACATATCCCACCGCTCTCTAGGGCCCACATTTTCATTCAGTGGGCGTACATAGTTTTGCTCTTAGTTGTATTCAAGACCACCTTTAAATCAGATCTACTTCCTCAACAAGAAGCCAGCGATTAACACAACTCTTTCGAGAATAATGTACTGAGAAAGCTGGCTGGTTGCCATTGCCGGTGCTGTAAGAGTTAGGTTAATCCATATTTATTGTTGTTTTTGATTCAGAAGATAAGTAAGATTTGGTAATTCTGCATGAGTAATATTTTTTTGGGGAAATTTTTTGGCTTACTTTGGAAGCATTTCATGCATCCTCAATCTGTTTTTGCAGATTATTAACTTTGGCACTTTATCTTGTTGGATTTTATATGTTCAAAATGTTTCTTTTAGTGTGTGTGGATGGATGGTGTCCCAAATATGCCATTGATGAATCACTTTTCTGATGTTCTGCTTGACAAAAAACTGAAAATCCTTGTATGACTATGTTCATTTAGAAACAGCTGCACTTAGAAACCAGTTTTATCCTTCTCATGTAGAACAAATGTTTTTTCATTTGATTTATTTAGGGACCAAAGATATCCAATGGGGAAGAGAAATCGGGCTGCTGTTGTCGTGCTGGGTGATATTGGTCGTAGCCCCCGAATGCAATACCATGCACTTTCCCTTGCTCGTCAGGTGTTCATCTATCAGATTTGCATGTTTACATACGTATAGACATTAATTTGTGATAATATCAGTATGTGCTTTCTTTTTTCGTATTTGGAGCTTACTGTTCATTTGGGTATCGGATAACGTGTACAGAATAGAGGAAATTATTATACCGATTTGCAATGTTATGTCATTTTGATTTTATAAGGACCAATATATCAAATTCTGGAGGTTGGGGAGTTGTCCAATTATTGCTACTTTGTCATCATTTCTTCATATGTTAAATAATAAAAATCGGCAGTAAATGCGAGTTTGTTATATCTTTTTGAAAGGGAATATTCTCGATTATCAGTGAATAATCTAAGGTGAGGTTTCACTGCAACAATTGAATGTTTCGCTGTAATATTTCACATGCAAGTCTGTTGTTTTGGTCTTGTAAGCTTTGTAACATTGGAGTTTAGAAAAAACTTTGTTTCTATCTGCAGCAGAAGTTCTGTGGACTTGTAAGCATTGCAAAGTTCTCTTTTCCTTTTTAGCATCTAGAATAATGGAACTACCAATTCTTTTGCAGGCTATTTTGCAAGTAGATATTGTCGCATATGGAGGTATGCTTGTGTTTTGTGAGAGCCTGGTGAAATGTCTTCTATTTGTTAACCTAAGCCTGATTGTTTTCCCTTGATTATATAAATTGTTTCTGCATCAAATAATGTTTACTCTGATCTATGTGTAGATTTGGTTGCTGAATATGGTCTTTATAGCATATTGATATTGGTTCATGCCTTTTATTTTTGTTTGTTGTTCTTTTTTGTTGACTCATTATGTCACTGATTGTAACAATGTACCACTTGTCTATTTCCTAATAAAAAAATTGATCCTTGGGTAGGTTCCGAACCACACATTTCTGTGTTGGAGCACCAATCTATTCATATCCATAAGATGGTAAGATTAAGGATGTTCCTGCTGGACTTAATGCATCATGATTTTCTAAGGTCGTGAGAAAGTTTCTGTTTCTTTTGTGCAGCCACAGTGGCCGACATTTACCCGATGGTTTTCGAGCCCTTTTCGACCGCTATTTCTAATTTTCAAGCCTATATTCCAGTTTCTGGTGCTGCTTTGGTATCTTTGTGTAAAGATACCGGCTCCTGATGTTTTCATAGTGCAGGTTAGATGCATCTTTTTTATTATTTCTCCCAGATGTCATATTTGATTGATTTCTATTCATGTTATTGTAGGTGGTCTTGGCATGATTGATTATTATCAAGTTGCTTGATATAAAAAAACGCTCGCCCTATATATATATATATATATATATATATATATATATATATATATATTCTGAATTTACTGGAAACCCAGTCTTCCTGAATATATATATATATATAATATATATTCTGAATTTCAGCTACAACTTGTAGCTGAAACTTTTCTGTTAGCTGTTGAAAGATATGGAGACACTGTTAGGAATATCAATCTTTACAGTTTACACTAAAGTTACATATTTTCATCTTGCAGAATCCACCATCCGTGCCTACACTAGTGGTTGTGAAGTGTGCCAGTTGGTTTAGAAAGTCAGGTTTCATTGTTGATTGGCATAATTTCGGATATACTCTACTAGCGCTGTCCCTTGGAAGGAATAGTCTTTTTGTTGCAATGTATCGTTGGTGAGATTGATTTCCGTTTTTTACTCAAATGATTATCGAGGTCTGTTTCATCTCAAGTTACAAACTGTATTGTTTTTTTTTTAAATGTGACCAGGATTGAGAAGCAATTTGGCAGGATGGCCCACGGTTCCTTGTGTGTGACAAGAGCAATGCAACACGAGTTGTCCCACAACTGGGGAATTAAGTGAGAGCGTATTCTAAAAACTTGATTGATGTATTATTTCTAACTAAGTTTTTCATGTTTTTGAGTGTTGATAACCCCTTGTTTTTTTATTCCCTTTTGTTACCGTAGAGCCACCGTTCTATATGATCAACCTCCTGAATTCTTCCGGCCTGCTTCACTCGTGGAGAAGCATGATGTGGGTAATTTTAAATGCCATTGTATCATATTAGCTTATCAAATCAGCGGGGTAGCTCGAATTCTAAAGTCAATGATGTTATAGTTGTTTTGCAGGATTAGTAAAAATATTAACGAGGTAGTCGGTTCACGTGATTGCGTTAGCAATGGTAAAAAAAGGAATAGAGTTCTCTTCCCCATAATTTTATTTTTATTTTCCTTTTTGTTATTTCAATAATGTTTATGTTAAATTGGTGTAAGATGCTTATGCGTGGTGGGTTTTCTGCAGCAAATAACAATGATCCGAATTCAACTCCATTTACGACTAAGGTTGGCAGTGACATATTACTGAAGCAAAACAGACCAGCTCTCGTTGTCAGCAGTACAAGCTGGTATATTTTGACTGATAGCCGCCAAAGTTTTCTTGAAACAATCTTGTATCCTTGTTGTACCCTTTTCTGTTATTTTATAATTTGAAAAAAAAAAAAATAGTTGTTTTTTAAGGTTTTGAGAATTATTAAATCGAAACTATTTCGCCACACCCCTTTTACCAGACATTTACGACATGTCTATGAATGGACAATACTCATATGTATTTAGATTGACATGAATGGGTAGAAAACAATATTTTTATGCAGGACCGCCGATGAAGATTTTGAGATTCTTCTGGAAGCAGCTGTTAAGTATGATAGGCGAGTTGCTGCACGTCTTGGCGAGGATGACTCGATTGGGGACGAAGTTGTTTGGGACGATATGCATAATGGAAAGCTATGCTCGTACCCAAGGTTGCTGTTCATTATTACTGGTAATGCCAATGCCTATTCAAACTTCATTCAATTGATCCAGCATTTGTTATGCATCCTAAGAGGCCAAGACCCACGAACATCTTTATAGGTAAAGGACCTGAGAAGAAGAAATACGAGGAGACGTTAAAAAAACTTAGGCTGAGACGTGTTGCGTTTCGCACCATGTGGTTGTCCGCGGAGGATTATCCATTGCTTCTTGGTAGGTTGTTAATTACTAATGTACCCTTGAGTTTAAGTCTATTACCAAAAAAAGGAAAAAAGAAGGCCTTTCCAAATTACGGCCCCATTAGTGTTTTTCTGTTTTCTTTCTTGCTTTCTTTCTTTCTTTACAACAACAACAACAACATACCCAGTATATTCCCAACAAGTTGCCCAACAAGTTGGGGTCTGGGGGGTCAGTTGTATGCAGACCTTACCCTTGTAATTATACAAGGAGGCTGTTTCCGTAGCGACCCAAGGTGCATTGCGCCGTTTGATATATATATATATATTTTTTTCTAGAAACTTCACTAATAGAAGAAGCACTAGAATTTAATTGAGCCATTTTGATTTAGTCCATTATTAGCACTATGCCAGAAGAATTGTCAACAATGACTCTTCCGTACAAGCTTTCTTTCTTTCTTTCTTTATTATTTTTTTCCACTGAAATACACTCATGGCTTCCTTTACTATGCATACAGGTTCAGCAGACCTGGGCGTGTGCCTGCATACTTCGTCATCAGGGTTGGATTTACCCATGAAGGTTCGCATTAATATGTTATATAAAGTTCAATCCTCCTACAAATGCATAAAACTAATTGCAATTTACTACACAATCCTCCATATGATTCTCTTTGGCCCATAATGTTTTGGCACACATTTTGAGGAAAAATCCCTCATATTTGGAGGTTTTGATTGATTAGGTAGTGGATATGTTTGGCTGCGGACTACCTGTCTGTGCTGTTTCATATTCTTGGTAAGGTTGATTTAGTATTTTCCTTCTTTCGCCGAGTTGCTAACTATTATAATAGACGATATTATTTGAAAAGGAAAATAAAATGACGAACATAAACTTGCACTAACTATTTCGGTTGTATGTCAAGCATAAAAGAGCTGGTAAACGTTGAAAAAAATGGGCTTCTATTCTCTTCATCTGCGGAATTGGCTGAAGAACTTATGGTAAGCTCTCAAGATTGTGGATCACTGTACATGGAACTTTTAAGAGCTTTTTCGTCGTATTTACTTCGTTCGTGATGCACTTCAACACATAGTAGGACTCGATAGATACTTTATTGTTTAAATTGATGTCCTTTTTTTTGGTACAAGTAACCACAGAGTATGTAACCATGCATTTAAATAAGAAAATAATGGATCGTATATATTATCTTGGTTATTACTCTCGGGAAATTGCTTGATTTTTATACCTTTTTGTCTTGCAGATGTTGTTCGAGGGTTTTCCAGAAAAATGTGATGCGTTGGGGTTGATGAGGTCGAACTTGATGGAAATGGTATCTTCTGTTAGGTGGGCGACGACATGGGAAGAAAATGCCAAGCCGTTAATATATGAGGTCAAAATTGAAAATCCTTTTCTACCCCTGGCCCTTCTATCAAAATTAAATATACTTAGCTTGTGACCATTAAATTATCCATTTTCCGGATGATTGTCATGAGAGCATTGCTTTTACAGGTTATATCTCAATACTCCAGCTGAATGTGCAGGATTGTCGAAATACAAAAATGAAAGTGAATTACTGGTAAACATCCTTCGTTCTTTTTTTNTGGATAAAGTTGACACTCGGTATGGTCTATTTGTGTACAAATTACTTAACAAACACTACCCCGAGGTTTAGCCTAATGGGCGAAATCTCAAGTTATCTTTCAAACATAGCGTTGGTTTTATCTTTTGCAAATTGTACCCTAGAAAGGGATGGTGACGGTGATTTGTGGTAGTCGATATCTCAAGATAACAGGGGTTTCTGTGAATAGGCAAATCCACATGGGTTATTTTGTAATTACAAACTCTTCATTTTAGTTTTCGTGAATTCTGAAGTTGAATAAAGGTTCATCTACCTGGCAGGAGTCGAACAACAAAAGGGTGATGATCGTGCAAAAGCATTCACAGAATTGTGTTCGTCTTTTTTTTTTTTACTAAGTAAAAAGACTCGTCCTCTTCCTTATGTGGCCTCTATAAACTTTCGAACTTGAATTTGCTGAAATGTACTTTCTATTTCTGTATGTACTGTGCACATAACAAGAAATCCTTGTATGCTATAAGGATCTATTTGCAGATTAGACTAATGTTGCATGTAGCATTTTAGTATCGAAAACTGCTCTTTTCGTTTTTCGTGCTCTTTACAAGGTCCAAAATCCCTCCTGTTTTGGGAAATTTTGAAAGTTATAAGGGACTGCCTGCCTTTGATTGGTTCGATTCTATCAGTGAGTGAGTGTGTTGATGCAACGGTTAAAATAAATCACCCTAAATGTGGGGGTAATAATTTTTGTTATGGGAGTTGTCAACCACCAAAACTTTTCTTGCGGGTGTAGTTTTTACATAAGAAGGCTTTTGTGACATTGGACTTGGAAAAATGTTTTCACGACATTGAAGAGTTTTACAAAAATCTAATAATTTCTATATTGTGATAATGTGCTTTATTTAATTAGATCGATTAGCAAGTAATTTTTGTGGATGCTGTTCGACTATCCAGGTAACTGTCTGAATGTTGAATATATATTATATTTAAAAATGTTAAATAGATGTAACATGATTATTAGATTCAGATTGATTTATTGACGAATCAATTCATTAGATAATAATGCTTTTATTTCCACGAATAATATAATAACTCAAACCTAACAAAATATAAATAATGATTGTACCATGAAAATTTATTTATATATATTATTTATAATATAATTAATTTTTATTGAGAACTAATTATTAATGTCTCATCTTATAATTATTATAGGATCCCAAGAAAAATATTTTGTAAGAATGAGTTATTGTGTGATACAACTTAATGGAACGTATAATTATATATTAAGAAATATCATACTTTTGTTTATTTTATTTTAAAAATATTTTAGTTATATATGAAACTATACATAATTATTGAAAAATATACTTGTATATTATTATGAATAGAAGATATTGTGTTTGATAAATATGTATAATTTTATCAAACAAGTATCATATTTTTAAAAATAAATATAAATAAAATTGTGATATTTAATATTGTAACTTTTAAAAACTGCCCATTTAATATCAGGAAAATGCTCACATGCCCACGATGGACACATGTTAATATGTCCACCGTTGATGTGGCATACACACATTGGTGATGTTAATATGTTAAAAAAATATATCACTAATATGTCCACCGTTGATGTGGCATACACACATTGGTGATGTTAATATGTTAAAAAAATACATCACCAATGTGTGCATACTACATAAATCGGTGAGCATATTAACACGTGTCTATGTGAGCATTTTCCCATAATATCATACTTGAAAGAAATTATAATTAGGTTGGTTTTTAGGGTCTGAAAAACTGGGATTTAAGAAGAAAAATAGACGGTTACGGGTTTGTCATACAGTAGAGGTAAAGACTGAATTCCACAGATTAAAGAAAGTGCTTTTAGGGTTTCTGGTCGCGCCCCGCCATTACCATTCACCAGCAATGTCTTCCAAGAAACGCAGCCGGATAACAAACCCGGAGCCATTCTTGCCGTTGGGCTCCGACGCCTTCTCCGGCAAGAAGCGCGCCAAGCCGCCCAAGCCCCACCAGCCCCACCAGAAGCTCGTCCCCTCCTCCGTCAGCTCCAAGATACTCAAAGAGGCCTTGCTTCAGCAGAAGGAGATCCAGCGCGAGGAGGATGACGAAAACAACCTCGCTGAGCAGAACCCTGATAATAAATTTGTGCTAGCCAACGTGCAGGGCCTCAAGGACAAGGACGATGAGGAGGATGTGGATGATTTTGATGGGTTTTCCGAAACCCAGAGTCAGTTCGGACAGTGGGATTTTGAGGTTTGCTCTCATTTCTTCTCTTTATTGTTTATATGTTGGGTTGGACTGTGGAATTTTGAGGTTTGCTCTCAATTTCTTCTCTTTATTGTTTATTCGAAACTAAAGGTATTATCTTTCTGACTATGGTGTTCGTGGCAGGCAATATGTTGGTCTGTTACTTTTGTTTTTGTTTTCGATTTGGTGACGAAACCGAACTTTCTATTGATTGCCTGTTTTAAGTATGAGAGTTATTGCCCTTTGGTTTATATATATGTTATGTGGTGCAATTTTCATTTGTGATTAGTAAAGATTAGAGTGGCTTTAGTAGATGCTTGCGAATAATTTTGTTCTGTGAAAGGGATGTATGGATGTATGTAATCGAAGTACGTGTTTCTTCTTTATCTCGGACATTGCGAGTGTCAATCTAGTGCTATTGAAGTTGTGAAAGTTCCTTTCTTTTTATATTCACTTTGAGCTATGTTTTAAATAAACTGACTTTTTGTTCATGAAATAGGAGAACATTGATGAGGAAGACGAAAAGTTGCTGGAAGCTTTCCTATCAAAGGATGATCGCCCTCAACGAACACTGGCAGACGTTATAGTTGAGAAAATCAAAGAAAAAGATGCTCAAGTTTCAGGTTTGAGGCCTTTTTTCCTTTGTATTAATTAACTGCCTAATCCTAGTTAGCATTCCAAGCCAGGAGGTGCAATGTGTAACATATATTAAAGTTTATTTATGGTCACAATCCTGACAATTCATAATGAAAAAACCCAGTTTCTTCTGTTATCGGTTTTCTGTATGTTGGTGGGATGCAAGTCGTACTGGTAGTGTATCACAAATTATAAGAAACACTCAGTTTGGTGTCTTTCTTTGTAGGTGTGCAGCCAATGCCGAAATTGGATGACTCAATCATAGAGCTGTACAAGGGGTATGACAACAATTTTGGATTTCTAATTGGGGCATATTGTCCGTTTTCTATTCTCATGCTTGTATTTATGGAATACGAACACTTTTTTTCATGGATCTTGGGTTGCATATGGATTTTTGCAGGGTTGGGAAGCTGCTCAGCAAGTACACCTCCGGCAAGATGCCGAAAGCTTTCAAGCACATAGCTTCTGTGCAATTCTGGGAGGAAGTCTTGTATTTGACTGAACCTGAGAAGTGGTCGCCAAATGCAATGTACCAAGCAACAAGAATATTTGCTTCTAATTTGGGTGTCAAGAAGGTCGAGCGTTTCTACAAGCTTGTCTTGCTTCCACGCGTGAGAGAAGATATTCGGAAGAATAAAAGGCTGCATTTTGCCCTGTATCAATCCTTAAAAAAGGCTCTGTACAAACCAGCTGCTTTTAATAAGGGAATCTTGTTCCCGTTGTGTGAGGTATATTAGTTTTTGAAGTTTTGAAGGAGTTTGCGATTATGTATACCCACTTTGGTTTCTAGCATATTATATCTTCTCAATGTTGATCTTTAGAAGTTCTGAATTTTTACTCCAGTGATTTGAGTTTCTTACAATATTATTATTAATCTTGTCATGGTGCATTTTTTAATGTTCTGTTCCAGTCAAGGACATGCACTTTGAGGGAGGCTGTTATAGTCGGGAGCATCATTGAGAAGATCTCCATTCCTCCTCTTCATTCTAGGTATATAGTGGCTTTTAACCTTTGCTCAATTTAGTTTTGACAAGCTCTTTAATCTATTCGGGTGTTACTACTAGAAAAGCTTTGCCTTTATTGAGATTGAGTTAATCTCTTTTTCTAATTGCAGTGTTGCACTGCTGAAGCTTGCAGAGATGGAGTACTATGGTACAACAAGGTATTATTTTGTGTAGAACTCTTAAAGTTTCTGTGAGTGATAACGTGCCAAATAGTTTCATATCTTCGCCAGGATTTTCTCCGCTTGTGATGTAGGAAAAAAATGATCTTACTTTCATCTGTTTGATAATTAGTTAGGGCTATGTAATTAGTCAGATGAAATCTCTCTCATTAGAATAAACATTTTTCAAGACTGCAATTTGTAATGGATTAGATCTGTTTAATATATTATAATTTTGTTTGTATTGTGCAGTTATTTCATAAAGTTACTGATTGAGAAGAAATACGCACTGCCATATCGAGTGCTCGATGCTTTGGTTGCTCATTTTATGAGATTCTACGAGGACTCGAGAGTAATGCCTGTGATCTGGCATCAGTCACTTCTTGCATTTGCACAAAGGTTGTTTTTAATCCTCTCTGTCTTTTTTCACTTATCATGTTTGCCTTATATATATATATATATATATATATATAAAATTCAATTTTTACTGCCCATTGCATTGTGCTTATAAGGGGAACAGTTATTATTCTTGTAAATGACTTTGATTAGTGAGTTCTATCAATCATGAAATTTATCTTTAAGATGAATGCAACTGATAAGAATTTGCTTCCATCTGAAAACCGCAAGAAGATGAGTGAAAATTTACATATTTTTCTTTTTCCACTCCCATCATCTTCCAAAAGTGTTGATCGACTATTTTTTGTACTGTATTATTATGCTCAGGTACAAGAATGAGTTGACAAAGGAGGATAAAATTAATCTCAACACTTTGGTTCAAAGGCAAAGACATAAATTGGTAAAGATTGATGGCCTACCTGTAACAAATAAACCTTTTTTGTATTTGATGATATAGTTAATAAATCCATCTCCATTCTCTCGAAATGCAGGTTACACCCGAAATACTAAGGGAGTTGAATAACAGCCGTAACCGTGGGGAGAAAGAGGATGATCCCATGTCGATTTATATCCTTCTAATTTTCACTAGGATCACTTTTCTTTTGTGATGTTTGTATTTACATGATAGTTTTTTTTTTATTTTATTTTTTCACAAGGGTACCACTAGTTTATGTATTTATCTCAAAAAGTCATGGCTTTTCAACTTGCGCCCTATTTACGATCAAACATTCCTTGACTCTATAAATACCAACCCCACTTTCTATAGTTACAAAAGCCATTCAAGAAGACAGGTTCGATATTCCAGAAGTACCAATGGAGGAGGATTAGATTTTTGCCATGTTCTTGCTTTCTAGAGGTATATAACAATTTTCACCTTTTTATTTAGTTTTCATCTGGAAAGATATGGTTATTTATTTATTTTATTCATGGGTGATTTTCTTATGATTGTAAACTATATTCGTGCAGGTGGTTTTTGAAATTCGAAATTATTCTCGGGGATAGATGTTTGTAATACCTAGAGCTTGCCTTTTAGGATGGAATATACCAGGTTTGATTGCTGGGGATGATTATTTTTGCAGTCTTGAGT